AAATTAATTAAGATATGTATAGACTGAAGATCATTGATGAATACTAGAAAGGTATTTTTTGTTTGATTGATAGAATAAGAAATGTATTGGTTTGAATATGACAGTAGATATTATGGGGGAAAGAGGGGGAATTAGTTGTTGTAATACTTTGAGATTTGTACTGATGATATTCAAATGTAATGGAATTACTGTGCTCAGCTGTCACACTACTTTTCAAATATGTAAATGTAATATTGGAAAATTAATAAAAAAAATTGGGGAAAAAGAAAAGAAAACAACCGTGCTCAGAGAGCACCAAGGACCCCTCAAAGAAACGGTAGTCAACTCAACTTCTAGTTTGATCCTCTCTTTAATTTTTACTCCTCTTTATTCCAACGGGAACTCCAAATAGCTTGTTATTAAGGACGTTTTTTTAGCCCCTGTAAGTACAAATTGATAATTTGTCACTAAGGACTTGAATGATAGACTTGCAGATGTTGTGAACAGAATCCAGCAGAACTACTTAAAGTAGTTTTGATTGAATGTTAAATACTTGGTGGGATTCAGAAGCCCTTTTGCTGAGGTGCTAATGGTTAATTTGCTGCCTTCCTCCACAGGAACAAGACATTGAAACAGTCCATGGGTCAGTCCATGTCACCATGTGTGGAACACCCCGGGGAAACAGACCTGCTATTCTAACATACCATGATATTGGTTTGAATCGTAAGTGTGTCATCTTGGGTTGTCTTGCCCATTCTCATAACTAGCATGCAGTGGAGAACTTCTTCTTTCTGGCTTAGTTACTCTGTTTTGTGCCTTGTGATCTAATGTAGCTTTTCCAAATAAGGTATCCTTCCTGTGTGATGGGGCTGCAATTCCCAGGATTCTCACCCAGCTTCCAAGCTGCCTGGGAATTATGGGAGTTATGGTCCTGACATACCCAAAGGGTAAAAAATTTAGAACGGCTGGTCTTAATGAAGTGTCAATGTAACATTGGCTGAGTTCACATATGATGCTAAACTATGTCTTGTTTCAATTGGCTTTTGAAGAAGCTACAGTGGTATGGCAAAAAAAGAAAAAAAGAAATCCAGAGTTTGAAAATCACAGTGGCAAATTTCACACAATACTCACCACATTATGGCTTAGTACAACACAATAGGCAAAGAAATATTTTTTATTAATTTTTGTGAGCTGCTGGATAATTCACGACGGGCGGAAATTCCTTGGTTGACCCAGAGCAATTGTGAATTGTTCATGCTAAAAGTGTGGGATTTAAATTTTAGGAATCCTTCGTCAAATCTTCGCTATAGCAAAGTCCACTTTAGCTGTGGCTGCACAATAGCCGAGGACTACACTTTGCTTTTAAATATGAATCTGCATTTTTGCAGAGCGAAATAGTCGCTGTCAGAAAGGCCACAGGAAAATGGTTTGGGGATTAGTTCTTTCATCCAGCAACCAGAAACGAGCGTTGTGTGAACTACAGATCCAATTGATGAAAATGGATGAAAAGCTTGACTTGGAGTAGCCCGCATATTCACACTATGAAGAAGAAGCTCTTTTTTCAAATTTGTGTTGCAAAAAGTGCAGAGAAATAAAGCAGCCCAGTGTGCAGCCCACTTTCCTGAAAAATTGCTTTCCCTAAATGCCCATTGGCTTTTTCTATAAAGGAAGCATCATTATTTTCATAGAGCCGACCTAGAGCGTCTGTCCATTTCACTGTGCAATAAAGTTGTAAGGGCTCTGTCGTACTCGGCGGTTACTCAATCTTGAGAACGCCCTTTTCCAAGTTTTGCCTTCTCCTCTGCTTCCCTCCAAAGACAAAACGTGCTTCAACCCCCTCTTCAATTATGAGGACATGCAGGAAATCACCCAGCATTTTGCGGTCTGCCACGTGGATGCCCCCGGACAGCAAGACGGAGCGCCCTCTTTCCCGCCTGGGTTAGTGGCTCCTGCTAATTCTGTGGATTTTAATTCAGATTTTATAGTCTCAATTCCAAAATTATTCATATGGGAAATGGAGGGGGGGGATGGATTTTACTGGCCAGGTTTTTGTTGTTGTTGTTGTTTTCTGAAGAATATTTTTAATTTCCTGATTCTTAATTCTTCTCCAGGAAAATAGATACTGATTTCCAAATAGCGCAGCTAAGCTCGTAATACAGATAGTCGTTGATTTTACAACTGTTCAATTACTGACCGTTTGAAATTACAACAGCGGGGGGGGGGAATAACCTTTATATCCAGGTCTCACACTTATGGCCGTTGCAACATCCCCATGGTTACATGATCAAAATTAGGGTGCTGGTTTTTGACAGTTCAGTATTCCTGGGGTCATGTGATCATCATTTGTAAGCTTCCCAGCTGGGATCTGACAAGTAAAGTCAATGGAGGAAGCCAGATTTGTTTAACAACTGCTTGATTCTATAAGGGAGGTGGGTGGTTAAGAATTTTTATACACACACACACGTATACACACACGTATACACACACACACGATTCACTTAACAACTGAAGCAATTCACTTAATAACTGACAAAAAGGTTGTAAAATGGGCTCAACTCACTTAACTGTATTGCTTAGCAATGGAAATGCTGGGCTAAGTTGTCATAAGTCAAGGACTATCTGTAGATGGCGTCTAGATCTCATCTCGTCCCACCCTCTGGAACGAACTACCCCCCGAGATCCGGACGATCCCGGATCTCTTAACCTTCCGCCGCGCCCTCAAGACATGGCTTTTTCAACAAGCGGGACTGACCTAGGGTGAATTTTAAATAGGGAATAATTTTTAAAGATTTTAATAATGACACAGCCATTAATATATTTGGTTTTTAATTGGTTTTATAGGGGAAA